TTGGGTCCTTTGATGTTTTGGAGACTTGCTTCTTGAGTTCTTTGTAAATTTTGGAGATCAACCCTCTGTCAGATGTGGGATTAGTGAATATTTTTCCCATTCTGTGGGCTGCCTTTTTGTCTTGCTGACTGTGTCCTTTGCCTTACAGAAGCTTCTCAGTTTCAGGAGGTCCCATTTATTAACTGTTGATCTCACTGTCTGTGCTAGTGGTGTTATGTTCAGGAAGCTGTCTCCTGTACCAATTCGTTCAAGGGTACCACCCACTTTCTCTTGTAAGAGGTTCAGTGTGGCTGGATTTATGTTGAGGTCTTTGATCCATTTGGACTTAAGTTTTGTGCATGGCGATAGACATGGATCGATCTGCATTCTTCTACATGCCAGCCTCCAGTTATGCCAGCACCATTTGTTGAAGATGCTTTCTTTATTCCATTGTATATTTTTAGCTTCTTTGTCAAAGATCAGATGTTCGTACGTGTGTGGGTTAATATCCGGGTTTTCAATTCGATTCCATTGGTCTACCTATCTGTTTTTGTGCCAATACCAAGCTGTTTTCAGGACTATAGCTCTATAATAGAGCTTGAGGTCAGGGATGGTGATGCCTCCAGACGTTGCCTTGTTGAACAGGGTTGTTTTGGCTATCCTGGGTCTTTTGTTTTTCCATACAAAATTGATTATTGTTCTTTCAAGGTCTGTGAAGAATTGTGCTGAGATTTCAATGCCGATTGCATTGACTCTGTGATTTGCTTTTGGCAGGATTGCCATTTTTACTACATTGATCCTACCTATCCAAGAGCATGGGAGATCTTTCCATTTTCTGAGGGCTTCTTTAATTTCTTTCTTTAAAAATTCAAAGTTCTTACGATACAGGTCTTTCACTTGTTTGGTTAGCATTACCCCAAGGTATTTTATGTTGTTTGTGGCAATTGTAAAGGGTGATGTTTCTCTGATTTCTTTTTCAGTCCTTTTATCATCTGTATATAGTAGGGCTGATTTTCTTGAGTTGATCTTGTAGCCTGCCACTTTGCTGAAGGTGTTAATCAGCTGTAAGAGTTCCCTGGTAGAGTTCTTTGGGTCATTGATGTAAACTATCATATCATCCGCAAACAGTGAACGTTTGACCTCTTCCTTCCCAATTTGTATCCCCTTAATCCCCTTTTGTTGTCATATGGCAATAGCTAGAACTTCAAGTACCATGTTGAACAGGTATGGGGAGAGTGTACAGCCTTGTTTTGTTCCTGATTTTAGAGGAATTGCGTTGAGTTTCTGTTCATTTAGTTTGATGTTGGCTGTTAGTTTACTGTATATAGCTTTTATTACGTTTAAGTATGTCCCTGTTATCCCAGATCTCTCCAAGACTTTTATCATGAAGTGGTGTTGGATTTTGTCAAAGGCTTTTTCAGCATCTTGTGAGATGATCATGTGATTTTTGTTTTTCAGCTTGTTTATATGGTGGATTACATTGATGGATTTTCGTATGTTGAACCATCCCTGCATCCCTGGGATGAAACCTACTTGATCGTGGTGAATGATTGTTTTGATGTGTTCTTGGATCCGATTTGCCAGTATTTTATTGAGTATTTTTGCATCAATGTTCATGAGGGATGTTGGTCTGAAGTTCTCTTTCTTAGTTGTATCTTTGTGTGGCTTGGGGATCAAGGTTATTGAAGCCTCATAGAAAGAGTTTGGCAAAGACCCTTCTGCTTCTATTGTGTGGAACACTTTGAGAAGAATTGGTATAAGCTGTTCTTTGAATTTCTGGTAGAATTCTGTACTGAGGCCATCTGGACCTGGACTTTTTTTGGTTGGGAGACTTTTGTTGACTATTTCCATAGGGGTTATAGGTCTATTTAAATTGCTTATCTGTTCTTGATTTAGTTTTGGCAATTGATAGCTGTCCAGGAAGTCATCCATTTCCTTTAAGTTTTCGAATTTTGTGGAGTACAGGTTTTCAAAGTATGACCTAATGATTCTCTGGATTTCCTCAGAGTCTGTTGTTATGTCCCCCTTTTCATTTCTAATTTTGTTAATTTGCGTGTTCACTCTCTGCTGTTTGGTAAGTTTGGACAAAGGTTTGTCTATCTTGTTGATTTTCTCAAAGAACCAACTCTTCGTTGCGTTGATTCTTTGTATTGTTTTCCTGGTTTCTACTTTATTGATTTCAGCCCTCAATTTGATTATTTCCTGGCGTCTACTCCTCCTGGGGGAGTGTGCTTCTTTGTGTTCTAGAGCTTTCAGCTGTGATGTTAATTCTCTGGTATAACTGTTCTCCTGTTTCTTCATGTGAGCATTTAGCGCTATGAACTTCCCCGTAGCACTGCTTTCAAAGTGTCCCATAGGTTTGGGTATGTTGTGTCTTCATTCTCATTGAATTCGAGGAAGTCTTTAATTTCTTTTTTTATTTCCTCTTTGACCCAGGGATGGTGCAGTTGAGCATTATTCAATTTCCATGAGTTTGTAGGTTTTCTGCAATTTGTGTTGTTGTTGAATTCTAATTTTAAAGCATGGTGGTCTGATAAGATGCATGGAGTTATTCCAATTTTTTTGTAGCTGCTGAGGTTTGATATGTTGCCAAGTATGTGGTCGATTTTTGAGAAGGTTCCATGTGGTGGTGAGAAGAAGGTATATTCTTTTTTATGTGGATGAAATGTTCTATAGATATCTGTTAATCCCAGTTGGGTCGTTACTTCTATTAGCCCTTTTGCTTCTTTGTTGAGTTTCTGTTTGGTATTCCTGTCTAGTGGTGAGAGTGGTGTGTTGAAATCTCCCACTATAACTGTGTGGGGCTTTAGATGAGATTTAAGTTCTAATAATGTTTCTTTAACGAATGTGGATGCCTTTGTATTTGGGGCATAGATGTTCAGGATAGACACTTCATCTTGGTGGGTTTCACCTGTGATGAGTATGTAATGACCTCCTTCATCTCTTTTGATTGATTTTATTTTAAAGTCTAGTTTGTTAGATATTAGGATTGCTACCCCGGCTTGTTTCTTGGGTCCATTCGATCGAAAAATTTTTTCCCAACCTTTAATTCTCAGGTAATGTCTGTCTTTAAGGGTGAGGTGTGTTTCCTGTATGCAGCAGAAGGAAGGGTTCTGTCTTCGAATCCAATCTGCTAGTCTGTGTCTTTTTATGGGTGAGTTAAGGCCATTAATATTGAGGGATATTAATGACCAATGATTGCTCATCCTTCTTCGATTTGCGATGGTTGTTGGTGGTGGAATTATGTGTGGAGTTTCACCCCTTTGTTCTTTTGGCTATTGGTAGAGAGAGATTCTCTAATGCTTATGTTTTTCTGGTTGTAGTTAGCTTCCTTGGGTTGGAGTTTTCCTTCCAAAATTTTCTGTAGGGCTGGGTTAGTGGACACATATTGCTTGAATCTAGTTAGTTTTGGCAAGTGATAGCTCTCCAGGAAGTCGTCCATTTCCTTTAAATTTTTGAATTTTGTGGAGTACAGGTTTTCAAAGTATGACCTAATGATTCTCTGGATTTCCTCAGAGTCTGTTGTTATGTCCCCTTTTCATTTCTGATTTTGTTAATTTGCATGTTCACTCTCTGCTGTTTGGTAAGTTTGGACAAAGGTTTGTCTATCTTGTTGATTTTCTCAAAGAACCAACTCTTCGTTGCATTGATTCTTTGTATTGTTTTCCTAGTTTCTACTTTATTGATGTCAGCCCTCAATTTGATTATTTCCTGGTATCTACTCCTCCTGGGGGAGTTTGCTTCTTTGTGTTCTAGAGCTTTCAGCTGCAAACACCCTTCTTTCTTCTCTGTACTCAGCCCAAAATTCTACACATGAATGATATAAAGAGGTAGTTGTCTTTTTGTATCTGGCTTTTTAGTATCAAAATGTCTTCCAGGCATTTTAAATTTAATACCATGAGATTCATTCCAATATAATCTTCAGTTTCCCTTTTTGTTCCTCAACTGTATATAAAGAACTTTTCTGTGCCATATACTATACTGGGTACATAGAGAACTCTAAACATCACTTGGATGTTTAGCTATAAAATTAACACCATGTAACACTGCTGATCTCTTTGCCTTTTGAGAAATAATACAGCCACATATTTATGGATGCACTAATTATGGAACCTTCCTCCCCTATGATATAGAACAAAGCAAGTGAACAAGGCAGTGTCTGGGTTATTTGGGTGTTTTTTTCCATTGCTCTAAAGTCTTAATTCAGACATAACCTTGAATTATCTTGTTGATCATGGGAGGAATTTTTAGTAGAACAATAGGAAAGGTTCAGTTAAGGACTTGTGAAATCTGTTTGGTGGCACTTCCTGTTGGAATGAAGCAATAGAGCTGCATCACCTGCCCTCCAACTGCACACTTAGAAGGCATGCTCCATAGAACCTGTAAAAGCAACATTCAGAAAGGAAGAATAGCACCTAAACTGCTGTTTCACAGAGACTCTGTAGATGTATACTCAGAATGACAAAAGGTCAAATAACAATTGACCCCGCCCAAGTCGTTCTTAGTAACACTTCATTCATCCAATACTCTTTTAATCTCATGAGCCTAGTAGGTTCTCCATGCATCATTTTGAAAGATACTTCCTCTGCTGCTCTATAGATTAAATGTGCTGACATTTCTTTCAGCGTCTTGTAGACTGGATAGTCCTTTTAAACTTTATTTTATTTTATTGGGGGGGCGCAGGATGGAGGGTACATAGGAAGGGACGGGGAAATGAGTGAGATGGGGATGCATGATGTGAAAGACACAGAGAATAAATAAAAAGAAATTTTAAATGATTTATTTAAGCACATTTGACTCTGTTAATTGCTATTGTTATAAACCATAGTCCATAGAGTACTTTCTACATAAATATGTAAGGTACATTTATAAAATATTTGAAAATAAAGTTTACTTTTATCCAGTGTTGGTACATATATTTATAGTATGATAAATAACAAAAGATCAATATAAAATTAATCTTCAGTAAAAATATGATCAATTTTAGAAAAAGATGTTTTGATGTAATAATTAAACACAAATAGATGAGAATGACAATATTTATTAACTCACTCCTCACTTCATATCTGTCAGATGCATTGCAGGCCCCAAAATGAGGCTAAAGAGAAACATGATTGACAAAACATAGGTGGCAAGGGCAAATTAATATTTAGGTGGTTAAAATATATTCGCTGAGGACAGTGCAAATACAACGCAGGTCATGAGCAGTTAGTTCCACTTGGATTAAGATTCAGGAAAGTTCAGACAAAACATTTATTTAGACATTGACTCACACATATCATACCTTAAGGGATTTTTTTAACACTTTCAATTTTCTTTTTACCAGGGACAAGTGTGTCATGTCACAGTGTGCATAGAGAGGTCAGAAGGGAACAATGTGCATGCATTGGTTTACTCCTTTCACTATGTGGATCCACAGGCTCAAACTTGGTAAGTCAAGCTTAGTGACCAGTTAGTTCCTCTACCCATGGGACCAAGTTACTGGTCTGCATGTCCTGCTTTAAAGCTCAACACAGAATCTTGTACCTGTTACCATTAAATAAAAATTAATGTGCATAAATAAGCTATGTTTGTTATTACATGAATGATAAGCAAATTATTCTGCTTATACTTAAAAGCAAGCCAATGAGATAGATAGAAGAAAAACTGGTACCAAATTTTATATGTGAAAAAAGATCAAGATGGCAAAATTTCAAATTTCATTGCACTTTCTCCTACTGGGGCAGTGAGAGACTCAGAGAGTTAGAAAACATTTTCCAATATGAAACCCTACTTTGTAAAAAGACAGCATTGGTTTATAAAATTTTTGATTTGTTCAAATCATGTTTTCGTCTCTTAGTTACTCATTTTTTATTCCTTATTCAACCATGTTTCACTTAATCCTTCATTATTAGTCTCAAAGATCCTATCTCAGTGGAAGTATAACATAGATGGACAGAATGGCCCAAAATTATTGCCACGGAGAGTTTCTATTCTTTGAGGAGAAACGTATCTATGAAGAGTGACAGAACAGTCACAAGAGTTATAAGCAAAGGGTCCTTAACTTCCATGAGGTGAAACTAAACGCTAATGTACCTCTAGTCTCTCATGTATGGGAAAACGTTCAAGGAATCCTAAAATCAAATGAAGACACCAGAGCTTTACAACTGTTCAGACCCCAGGCATCAAGTCACTATTGCTTTAACATTCATGGTACAGATGTCACAGCCCAACACACAGTGACCCCTATCTGTGTGTTTCATGCACATCCCTTGAAGTCTTACAGTGTCACCAAGATATTAGTCTTTGGTTTATCTAGAAAATAACATTTCTTGTTGTGATGGGAAAAGTGTGATTGGTTATCTTGAAACCAAGATTTCTTTCTATCTCTAAAGAAAAGTTAACAAAGTTAAGTTTTGGGTATGACCCCAAATGGTGTTGGCAGGTACTATCTTAATAATGTACATTGAACTTCTTATCAGTGATCCTGGAACTTTAAGTACACACCTCAAATACCCTAGTTAATCTCACCCTATTCTGCTACCTAGTTGTCTGTACTTCCAACACTAGATCATATACCATTTCTGTCTTTGTCAGACTCACAACTTGATCCTGAAAAGCATCTTAAGAAGTCTCCGGCGAATCTCCTTTGTCTTAATGGAGTAGATGACAGGATTTAACATGGGAGGCACAAAGAGATAGAGAATAGACATGAGGATATGGACTGCATGAGGTAAGCCAGCCCCAAAACGATGCACAATGGACACGCTGACCATGGGCACATAGAAGATGAGTACAGCCAAGATGTGGGACACACATGTGTTGAGTGTCTTGAGACGCTCCTCTTGAGATGCAATGGCCAGCACTGATCGCAGGATAAGCACATAAGAGATGAGGATGAGTGCGGAGTCCAGACCAAAAGTGAGTAACACAATGGACAACCCATAGTGACTATTGAGGGTAACATCAGTACACGCCAGTTTAATCATGTCCACATGCAGGCAGTAAGCATGGGAGAGGATGTTCTGAGGGTGGCAGAAGGGAAGTCTCTGCAAAAGTACTGGGAAGACCACAATGAGAACAAAGCTGCGGAGGACTGTTCCCAAGCCCATTGCCACAATCCGGGCATTGGTGAGCACTGTGGCATAGCGCAGTGGATTACATATGGCTACATAGCGATCAAAGCTCATGGCTAGAAGAATGCCAGATTCTGTCCAAGAAAAGAGATGTATAAAAAACATCTGAGCCAAGCATGCATTAAAGGTGATCACTCGGGCATGGAAACAAAGGGCAGCCAGAACAGTTGGCAGAGTGGAAAAAGACACACCCAAGTCATTCACAGACAGTAGGGACAGGAAGTAGTACATGGGCTGGTGCAAGCTCTGCTCCTCCTTGACAATGAGGAGGATCAAGGAATTGCCTACAATGGAGATGGCATAGAATAAAAGGAAAGGGAAAGACAGCCATGGCTCCATGGCTTCCATTCCTGGAAAGCCTGTCAGAATAAAGCTGGGAGCCTCAGAGGCATTGATCCTAAAGTTGCCCATGAGAGAATAGGGTCGTTTGTCACAGTCAGATGGGTGTTTTCGGATATTACACCATGTGTCCAATACCCCATGAAGGAAAAAGCATCACACAAGTTTTTTTTTCATAATTTTGCACATGTATTTGATCTCTGAAGTCCACTGAGCTATGGAGTAGTGAACTCTAGCTATGGGAAGAGACTTCGTTCTCAGGCTCTTTCAGGAGAATAAATTGGACTTTTCATAGGAGTTAACCATCTCATCCAGTTTCTTAGTAGCTTCCTGAATACAGTCTTTATGATCATTTACCCAGCTATTTCCATATGCCTTACACTTCATAACCATGACCTAGGATGATCTATAGGGAATTATATATCCATTCTGAAAAATAAGGAGACAAGTATCTAAGTAAAGGAAGTAAGTTACCCCAGGTATCTTGATAAGGAAGCTACATGACTAGATCTTAAATTCTAGTCCAACTTCAATTGCCAGGTTTTTTCCTATAAATTGATAAAATAAACAATCACATGCCTTCATGTTCATGACACACCATTGCTGTTCCTCTATTGGAATTTCAAATTTCCCCAGGTATCAGAGATAAGAAATGTTACTTTAAACCAGTCCAGTGAGAAGATGTGGCAAAAGAGTGACAGCCTTTCATTTTACATCCTTCTCCTTTGCTCTCTTATTTATGTTTTAGATCCACCCATTTGAGAAAGAAACTGCATTTAACAATATTTTGCAACATTTCAATGGCAAGCCTACAAACCTTTAATGCCATGTAAAAAGATTTTGGGTGCCAGATCAATTTCTGTGCCTCACAAATAATTATTAACACGCATATCCATCATTGAATATCATTGTCTTTCCACATTTACTATTCTATATGACCCTCAGGAAATATAGTTTTCTTCTGTGACTGAATTCAAATATTGTATCAGGGAATACTAATACTAAATATCAGGGTTTGATAAAGAGTCGCAAAGATCCATGAATGAAGGATGAGTTTTCTGGGAAACAGCATTAGTTTTGAAGACGTAAGCAAGACAGAGCAGAAATATAGTGGAGATCTTTAGAGTGTAATGAACCCCTGATGGCGCCATGTAAAGAAAGAACACTACAGACTTCTTGAACACCCTAGTCTCATTCCACCATGGAATACATTCCACTTCACAGAAAGCTAAAATTGTCTTAACTAAAAACTTCTGCAGAAAACAAAATAGCACTCATGTCTGTTCCTGTTGTAACTAGAGAAGATGAAGAGGCCCCATTGGTCTCAGCTGACACTAGTGTCATTCCTGCTTCTCAGTAATTTTCCAGGTATTTACACCAAGGCACAAAATGAGAAGGAGGGAAGAAAGACATGAAAAAAAGAAAGACAAGAATAGAAAGAGGAGGTAAGGCTGATTGTTTGTTGTTTGTTTGTTTGTTTGTTTGTTTGTGTGGGGGTAGTGCTTGGTTTTTGAAGACAGGGTTTCTCTGTGTAGTCCTGACTGTCCTGGAACTCATTCTGTAGACTAGGCTGGTCTCAAACTCACAGAAATCTGTCTACCTCTGCCCACCAAGTGCTGGGATTAAAGGTGTACACTACCACCTCCCAGCAAAATTTTTTGTTTCACTTTTGTTTTTAAAAGAGGAAATAATACGAAAAGGGGAAAGGTCAAGTAAAGAAATGTAAGATACAGGATGCAAGTTCCGAGAAGACAATTTTTGAAGTCAACAACAGCAACACAGAAAATAAAGATTACGAAAAAGACAAATAAGACCACAAACAGCTACAAGGAGTTTGTCTCAACCTGTCTCATGCTCCTGGCATCAGATAATATACTCATCCGAGACCTGGTGAAGGATATAGAACCCATATCCATGCCAAAGTTCTCAGGAGTCGCCTCTCAACCTCTAAGCAATGGAGATCCCACCCCATGACCTAATATTCTTCAGGCAAACACTGTTGGGAATACGTTCTTCATCACAGGATCCTGGTGTTTACCACCTGTCATCTATTCCCTGGGGTACTTCAGAGCTCTGTGCGGAGCACATGACAAAAGTCCCTCTCCTCCCAGTCAAACAGAGCTTACATGCACCTGTTGTATGTCCTCATGACTGACTACTGGGGTCCTGAAACAATGTGTCAAATCAGAGTCTGAGTACCTAGTAGTCTAACACTAGTAAATGCTAATATATAAATATAATTCATTCTTCCTCACCTCCAGCTAGACAGAGTCCTTTCCCCCAAGCCTAGTTCCCACCCTAAGACCCCTTTCCAGGCAAGGAGCAGAAGCTCCACTGTAAGGCTCGCTAATTTCACAGACAATAGAAACAATTGCTCATCAATGATGCCCTGTGTTTTCAGTGTCCTCGTAACCCCATCAAAGTTTCACAACCAGTTTCACAGACGAGGAATCCTCCCACTTCACACATGAGAAAACTGGAGGCCTAGAAAGTCAAAGTACACTCAAAACTATTAGTACCAAGTAACAAAGCTGCTTTCAAACACAGGCCATTCATTTATTCACTTACATATCACAACACATAACAGACAGACATGATAATACAAACCTTTAATCACAGCATGGGGAGACTAAAGCAAAAGAATTGCAAATTGGAGAGTACTCTGGTTGAATCTAAGACCTTGGTCAGCATGAGAGAAACATAACCACACTCTGCTTCCATAAATAACTCACTGCTGTTTCATAGTGTCTTCTAGTTACACTCAGTTTGCTGCAAATGACCAAAATTCAACCTCCTCCAAAGCTGAATAAACATTCTATCATGCATATATGGTACATACATATTTTTATTTTTGTTTAGCAGCTTTTAGGTATCTGGACTGATTTCATGCTTTAGGTATCTGGACTGATTTCATGCTTTAATTGTTGTAAATAGTGCTAAAATATTCATGAGCTGACATGTGTCTCTTTGTTACACAGATATTATCTCTTTTGGATATATACCTAGATAGGGATCATAAGGTGGATATATTTTTAGACTTTTAGGACTGTACTAGCATCTGTAATAGACACACTGGTTCATATTCCTGTCAGAAGTTATGAGTCCCCCTCTCTCTCCCTATACTCATCATTATCTGTTTTTGAGGGATTCTTATTACTTCTCTGAGAGTCTCAAAACAGTGTGTTTTGATCATATTCAGCTCTTCCCAGATCCACACCCCCTTCCCTACTAACCCAACTTTGTGTCCTTTTCATTCTTGGATGTGTGGTTTTCCACTGGAGAGTGGTTGGCTTAGCAGGGGCTACACCCTTATGTAAAGAGAAGCCTTCCTGCCAGCCTGGTTCCAGAGCCGTATCAGTCCCAAATAAACACACAGGAGGCTATATTAATTATGAAGCTGTTGACCTTGCTTGTTTCTTACTGGCTAGCTCTGACTTAAGTATTTACCCCAAAATTGTTAATCTAAGTATTTCTCTTACCGAAGCAAAGTTCTGGACATCTTATTTCTCTGGCGGGCTACATCATGACTCCCTGTGTTTCTCCTACCCAGAGTCCTCCTGAACTCCTAGTCCAACCTATCTTGCTTTCCTATTGGCCAACAGTGTTTTATTGACATATACATAGGACTTCCTCCATCAGCTCCTCTTTTCTGTCTAAACAAAAAGAAAGTTCTTAACTTTAACATAGTCAAATTATATAAAACAGAACAGTTATCAAGTAAGAACAAGTTACAATATTTTGTCTATCAACATTTAGCAAGATTTAAAGAAAATATAATCCATCCCATTCTTGTGAGTCCAAAGGTCTATATGTAGCTTATCTTTTATCATAACTAAGGAAAACTATAATTATAACTATCTGCCTTCAACTCTATCAAAGACCACAGAAGGATAATATATAAACACTAGGATTGACAGAGATATCTTGCTGCCTGGGCAGTCACCTGAAGTTTCTCTGTAATGTTGGGGCATCCATCTTCAGCCCATAGGCCACAGTATGTCTAGAAGACTTTTCAGCAAAGCAGGAAATTTCAAACTGTCCATTTGCATCGGCAGTCTGTCAGTCATTTTTCTGTGTCCTGCAGAAAGTCTCCTAGACTCTTCCATGAAGCAGGAACCATGAAGGACTATTTGAGTTCAGCAGTCACTTTCCTGTGGGTCCTGCATGTCCAGTTTATACAGCAACAGTCAAGCAGTCTAGGCAAGAGCTGTTTCTTGCCCAGATGGCTAATCTTGCCATGTTGAAAGTAAACTCCATAACGAGTTTCTTCGATGCCCATCTTCCTCTCAGACATAATTGGTGCTGCCAGGAGCAGACATTTCTCATTGTCAAGAAAAACCCTAAACCATTTTAAATGCCATTTTCTGAAGGTCTTTGAAATGTTTGAAGACTGTCTATCTATCTGTCTCAAATACATCTCTATATATCTAGAAAACCTAACTTACCTAACTAAAATTCTGACTATTATAAGTAACTATCTATAGTCGGTATTTAATTATGCATTACATTTTAAAAGAACAGTATAAGCACAATACTTAATCAAGAGGAGAAATATACATATCACAAAATTGACCTTGAATTTGTCTCAACAAATGAAAAACCATACCATAATCCCCTTTTTCCTTTAAAAAGAGATGGGTTATTATCATTAACGAATTATAAATAATCCCATTTAAATGAAAACAAAGATTTATAAACAAGATGGGATTAGGACATCGCTCATTCCAAACTGCTTCATGCTGGAAGAGGGCGCTGTTCATACCATGGGGATCATGACAAAACTCAGAAACCTGTATAAGTCCTTAATTTCAGGGTCTGTAAGACTGCATCATCTTAGCTGTTTTAGATGTTGACTCACTTGGGCCATTGCTTCCAGGGGTCTTGGTTCATCAAACCACAGAAGCCTGGAAGGAATTCTCAGCTTTTCATTTTCTGTAGAAACATAAACAAAAACTCCTTTCCCAAGTAACATATCCTCATACTTAAATTTCGAAGTCAAGGCATTTTCAAAAGATATAAGTTGAATTAATTCAGCAGCATTCATAATCAAGTGTACTTTAGCAGTTGTTCCTTCCTTAGCAATCAAAAAAACTGAAAAACACAATAACGTACAGTATCCAGACTTTCTGTGTATTTTTCATCTTTACATGACTTATTTATCTATTATTATTATTAATCTATTTCTTTTACTTTTATTTATTTTTCTCTGAGACAGGGTTTCTCTTTGGAAATCTGCCTGCCTCTGCCTCTGCAGCAAATCCTACCAGCTTGCGCCACCACAGCCAGCTTCTCTATTTATTTACCACTATGCCGTTTCTTTATCTCTCTCAATCCTACATATATTTTTAAACATACTGTAAACCTTTAGAGGTTTTTCTTCATCCAAGTCTGTCTTTACTGTAAATCTTTATGTTTTTCTGGCCACGTGTCTTATCTGTTAAAACCGCAGCTGTTTAAACTGCCGTTTTTCCAAGATGGCGGGCAGAAGCATGACTCCAGCTTACTGGATCAGTCTATGGTGACATCCAGCAAAAGCTGCTGGCTTGGAGATGTGGTCACTGTCACTTCCAGCTGTATGTACACACCTTTCAATCATCAGCAGAGCCTCTTAAAAGAAACTTGTTTTTTTCTTTTATGCTGAGTCAGAAAGACTCCCTTAAGCAAGCCACGTGGATCTCTGCTTGTCGCTAGCAAAATAGAGCCCACCTGAGAAAATGTTGCTACCAAGAAGCTGTGCTTCTCTCCGTGCTTTTGTTTCTAAAATTCCTTTAAAGCTCTTGTCATTCTACGTGGAAATTCATGATCCCACTTCTGATCACCATTTGTAAAGAGAAGCCTTCCCGCCAGCCTGGTTCCAGAGCCGTATCAGTCCCATATAAACACACAGGAGGCTATATTAATTATGAAGCTGTTGGCCTTGCTTGTTTCTTACTAGCTAGCTCTGACTTAAGTATTTACCCCATAATTGTTAATCTAAGTATTTCTCTTACAGGAGCAAAGTTCTGGACATCTTATTTCTCTGGCGGGCTACATCGTGACTCCCTGTGTTTCTCCTACCTAGATTCCTCCTGGACTCCTAGTCCCACCTATCTTACTTCCCTATTGGCCAACAGCGCTTTATTGGCATATACATAGGACTTCCCCCATCACCCTTAGAGAAAACTGTCTCTCCCTCTCTCAAGCATCTGGAATTTGTCAATAGCTCCATGGATTTTGTGCCCAACTTCTCTCTCCATACTGAGACTTGGTCCAGTTTGAGCTTGTACAGATTTTTATATGTTGTTTCAACCTCTGTTAGTTTCTATGTGCAGCTATCCCACTGTTTCTAGGAAATAATATTTAGTCATCTGCCACCTCTGTCTCTTACACTCTTTCCACACCCTTTAATACAGTAGATTTCTGAGTCTTGGGAGGGGTGGTGGTCACTTTTGCAGATCCACAACACGGGGCAACAACAGGATGTCCAGGAAAAGTCCTAGTGGGTGCAGAGACCAAGGGCCTTGAAACAGATGAATGATTCTTTGTGATAAACTCCTGCAAGTAAAAATGTATGGATAAAGGGGTTTACTGTGTGACTCACTATGTCACACTGCAGCTTCCATAGTAAGGGTTTCCCTTTCTCCTTTTTCTCTCTTAAATTTTATTTTCTTTTGTTTCGGGGGAGAGGAATGGGTGGGACTGGTAGGCATGATGTGAAAGACACAAAGAATAAATAAAAAGAAAGTAAAAAAACAGGAGTAACAGATTTATTCATGATTCATTAACATTAATTATATGCGCATCGAAGGGGAGATATATTAATACAGTTCCTCCTTAAAAATCTACTGAGATTTGTAAGATTTTAGTGTTAAGTGTTGCCTTTATTAATACAATATCAAAAATATGAGAAGACCTGACCAGAGTACCAACATGGCTCACACCTACGGCTCATAACCTGAAGCAGCAAGAGGTCCTACACTGAAAGAGCCTTGAATGTGATTCAATATTCTACTACCATGTTTCTGAAATAATAACTACTCAAGGCACATTTTGTGAAATGAATGCTAATGGTCAGGGAGCATGCACATGTTCATGATTATCTCTTGATACATGGCCTTGGAGATGACCTGAGTCCATAGAAATCATAACATACAGGACATAGGAAATTCAGTGACATCAACACCACTATAGAGAAATGGAGAGAAGAGAAGGAAAGGTGTGAGAAAGTTAACATAAAAATTGGGAATCCTGCAGAAGATGGAGAGGAAGAATTTTAGGACCCAGTAGTGTCAAGGGCACCACAAGAAAACCCACAAAACCAATAAGTCTGGGTTCATAGGATCTCACAGAGACTGAACCAACAAAGCCTCCATGGGACTGACATAGGCCTGCTGCATATATGTTACAGTTGTGTAACTTGATCTTTGTCTGGGACTCCTAGCAGTAAGACCTAGAATGCCTCTGACTCTATTGCCTGATTTTTGGGACCCATTCCTCCTGCTGGGTTGCCTCATGCAACCTTAGGGAAGGAGGGGGTGCCTGGTCTCACTGCAGCTTAATATACGATGGCTGGTTGATATCCATGCAATGTCCACCTGTGTCTGAAGAGAAACAGTGAAGGGAGAGTAGATAGTGGGGCATGGGGAAAGGGGAAGGAGGGCAAGCTTTGGTTATGATGTAAAAACAAGAAAATGTTTAAAAATGCAAAGTGTCGTTTCAATATTTTCCTCATAAATCCCTCCCAGGGTAAACCTCCCTTATTCCTTTTTCCTCTTTTCAACACTTCCCTAATATTTTCCAGAAAAGTAAGCACCATGGATCAAATCCTGAGCAGGTTCTCTGAGTTTTAGACTTGAGTATATCCCAATCTACACACAACCACATCCTTTGAATAAAAACGGATGGAATTCAGAGCTATGCCAAACACAATCCTTGCGCTTGCAAAACTGAGGCTGGATAGGTGGCTACACCCAGATCACACACTAAGCTTTCATGTGCTGAAACAAAACATCATATGCCCTACGCGTTGCTTACACATATAGCTGTTCTACTGCTCATACCTCACATGACAACCCACCACAGCTAAAGCCTGACCTGCCAGTCTATGATAGAAATGCCCTTAGTAGTAGAGTCTCTAAAAGTAGTTGTTCAAAAAAAAGAAGTCAGGGTTCAATTGCTAAGATCTAAAAAGCATCAAGGGACAAAACTCATAGTGTCTTGTAGCAAGACTGCATGGAACAACTTCCTAAGCATGCCCCTTTCAGAGCACAGGGCTACTGCAACTAAGTATCTGCTCCCAACTTTCCCCTATTACACAGATTTTGTCTGTAGTCCACCTTCCCACAGTCTACATTCATTTTCATACATGGCAGAGCATCCTCCTTACAATTGCCATTTGAAGTATTCTCTTGGGGGCAACAATAAGCTAAAAAGAAAACATGTGGGAAGTCTAAGCCTCTGAGTTCCACTTTCAACTGTTTTTTCCCCTAGGAACTGGTTATCAGAGAAAAATCTTCTGGCTAATCTCTCTCTCTCTCTCTCTTTCTCTCTCTCTCTCCTTTTATCCTTTTATCTGTCTCTTTAAAACAGTGGGCGACTTCAGAAATGGGTACAGATATTATAAATAATACCATGGGAGAAAAACATTGAAATTCGAGTACGGACCTTCTAAATCTACAGTTAAATGAAGTGAACTGATTGCAATTCTGACAGTGCTGTGCCCTGCATCTCCTCACTTCATTTCTGTGAGTTTGGACCCGTTGGTGAGATCAAGGTAAGAATAATGATTAAATTCCCCCACTCTGGATGCTGTTCTGCAGCAAGGAACTTGTGAGATATAGAAGATTTAAAAAAGAAGATGCTACTTCTATCATTAGAATTTTTTTTAAGTTTGAGGACAATTTTGTTTGAGCTTAAGAGAAAAACAGCAGGTTAGGCAAGCTGTGGATATAAGCATCTGCCAGAAGGGAGATGGAGAAGAGATAGAGAGAAAGCCATGTGTTTTGTAGTGAATGTCAACGAGCTGTCATGGGGCAAAAGAAGAGGGTGGCTTCAGAGAAAGAATGAAAAAGCCCAAAGTGCCAGGAAAGGTATGTTTAGCTTTTGGTCAATACCCAAAAAAGAGATAAAGAAACGTTTAAAAAGAAAGAAAAGTAACATTCTCTTCAGTCCTGTCTCAGAAAATAAGTAGGCAGCATGGCAGAAATTCAAGTACTGCCTGATGGGAGAGGCTGCAACCATTGACCTGGGATTAAAACTTTTAACCCCATTACTCAACTATTTTCTTCAATGCCAAAAAGATGTATGAGATAGGAAAGCAAATGTTGCTATTCTCAATTCAGAAAGAATTTAGAAACCATAGTGAGGTTGTAGGGTTCATCTGGTGTCTAAAATCAAAGGGACAAATGAGCTGAGGCTGGGATTCCACTGCTATGTGTGTGAGATGACACAGAGATTTGAAAATAACCATGCGAAATTCATATGCTTGAATTAAGGCTCAAATTTCTTATAACCCAACAAAAAGATACCGTGGGTATATGATGTGTCACTAAGGGAAGATACATACACTACACACCACCCTTCCTCAACAAAAACACCTCATTCTTTTAGGATACCAGGCTTACCCACTCACTCTCTACATCTGATTCTGTTAGCATTTGGTATGCTGCCTAGTCATCACAGTGCACTGGCTTTGCAGTAGTTGGTGTCTAACGTGTGTGATATGTTTCATATTTAAATTATTATAGATACTCCAGAAGCAGGTGGATATATTCATGTTGGCTAAAGCCTGCGATATGAAAACAAGCTATTTGACATGAAATTAGGCATAGATGGTACTAAAGCATGGAGATTTTGAGACAAATGGGCAATGGTGTGTTACTATGAATTGCCAATTGTTTTAGTGCATCTGATCAAAGGCTGGGTATCAACAATGTCAATGAAAGGGTCAAGGTTAGAACTAAGATTCTAAAAAGGCAGTCAGTAAAAAAATAAAAGGTGATTAAGAACTAGATGAGATAGTGAACTTCAAAAACCTGAGAAGAAGCCGGGTGTTGGTGGCGCACGCCTTTAATCCCAGCACTCAGGAGGCAGAGGCAGGCGGATCTCTGTGAGTTCGAGGCCAGGCTGGACCGACAGCCTCCAAAGCCACAGAGAACCCCTGTCTCGTAAAACCAGAAGAAAAAAAAACCTGTGAAGAATACAAATAAAAAAGGGACAGTTGCCTAAGCTTATGCTATAAACTGAAGAAACAAGCAATGCCCTAGTTATATGTGCAGGAAAGAAGCAAATTGAGTGTGGGATGTGGTAGGAAATAGATCGATGTGGGTTAGGCTGAGCTGACATTTAGTTTAAATGCATGCCACCAATGATGAGCACATAAAGAAAAACCTGCTATATATGACAGCATTTTCTCAGATACTCAATCTACTTGGTAGATATGAATATTTTGTTTTAAAAAAAGTTTTTATACAAAGGCCATTATTTTAGGTGAATCAACTACATACCTGATGCTACAGGACTGGTGTACCATTTCTTCTATCAAGAATGTCATTCTCCAATGCTAATGACAGTCTCCCAGACACTCTTTTCCTGACAGGGATCCCAGGGCTGGAGGCTTTCCACACCTGGATTTCTATCCCTTTCTGTGTGGTGTATCTGATAGCACTGCTTGGTAATGCTGCCCTCATCCTTATCATTGGGACAGAGAGTGCTCTTCATGCACCCATGTATCTCTTCCTCTGCCTTCTCTCACTCACTGACCTGGCTCTAAGCTCTACCACTGTACCAAAGACACTTGCCATTCTTTGGCTCCATGCTGGAGAGATTTCCTTTAGCGGATGCCTAGCACAGATGTTTTGTGTTCATTCTATCTATGCTCTGGAGTCCTCAGTTCTCCTTGCCATGGCCTTTGATCGATATGTGGCTATCTGCAACCCACTGAGATATACAACCATTCTCAACCATACTGTCATAATTCAAATTGTCTTTGCTGGAATATTACGTAGTGTGACTGCTGTATCACCCTTCATCTTTTTGCTGAAGCGACTGCCCTACTGTGGTCACCGTGTCATGGCTCACACATACTGTGAGCATATGGGCATTGCTAGGCTTGCCTGTGCCAACATCACTGTCAACATTGTCTACGGGCTCACTGTGGCTCTGCTGGTTGTGGGCCTGGATTCAATCCTCATCGCCATCTCCTATGGCTTCATCCTCCAGGCTATCTTTCGTCTTCCATCTCAAGACGCTAGGCACAAGGCTCTGAGTACCTGTGGCTCTCACCTTGGTGTCATCTTGGTTTTCTACACCCCTGCTTTCTTCTCCTTCCTCACCCACCGCTTTGGTCACAACCGAGTTCCCAAGCATGTGCACATCTTCCTGGCTAACCTCTATGTGCTGGTGCCTCCTGTGCTCAATCCCATTATCTACGGAGCAAGAACCAAGGAGATTCAGAGTCGACTAATAAGACTACTTCACTTAGGGAAAGGCTCGGCATTAACTCTGAGCAGAGATTGAAGATGACAAAAAAATACATAGGCAGGTGAGTCATCTAGTCATGGGTGAATGGAAATGGGATGTGTTAATGACAGCATGACATGGGAAGAAATGCTGGAAGAGAAATAGTCTGGTGACTGTGGGTTGTTAAACATCACAGTAAAATGCTCTGCCCACCACTCTTACACTTATAGGCGATTAAATTTCTTTTTCTTTGTCTTAGGAAATATAATTTTCTAAGAGGATATGGAGGAGGAGGGGAAACAGGAGGGGGATGAGGTATGTTCTGACACAAATACTGCAACTGCATTTCAAGATTAAAATAGTCTGTTGACACAATATGGGGAAATAAAATAAAGAAATCAGAATGGCATTCAGAGTGAACATAAATCCAAACTGTAAAAAACTCTTGGTCGTGGGTGCATCCACGGGTCTGAAGGACCACATGTATTTGAACATGTTCTCTCTCACTTGGCTTTCAGTCTTGATCCACTTATGAAATCTTCTGTCAAGTAAGGTTAGCTTTGAAACAGGGACAATGGGAATACCTTACATAAGACTTTTTGTAAAATCTCCCATCATGTAATTATTACAACTATTTTATAGTATCTATCTAAAATAGACAGAAATTGATGTGATGAGTGCTTAATAAAAATGCATTTTCTTCCAATGCATTTTTTGTCTTTCACTTCGGAGCTTTATTTTCTTTTAATAGTAAATGCATTTATGGAAGCTGATTTGGATTCAAGTTGCTTTTGTGCTGTCTCTTTTGACTTCAGTCACTAAGGATTTGTTAAAGTTTCTCTCACTGAGAAATTGTGCTTCCCAAAAGTGAAGTGAACATTATTGATTTTCATTGAATGTAGAAAATATTCAGCTTGTGATTCTTAAATAATTTTCCTTTACTTTCTCTTTCTTCCTACAGTATCCTTGCATGTGCATGGATATGCATGGTATGTGTCAGGATCTCACAGACTCTCTGCCCATTCCTTTCCTTTTCTTTTTTTCTCTCATCAGTTTCAACATCCATTGACTAAGCCTCAAGTTTGCTGCTTCTGTTTTCTGTCCAGTCTCTGACCCAGTCTACTGCTGGAATTTTCATTTGGATTTTGTGCTGTTAAAAAATATTAATGTTTTTTCTAATCCTTTCTGTTATAACTTTGGTAATAAAGTTATATTTTACCATCCTTTATATATAGATGTGTATTTCCTTTTAGATCTTTTTAAATTAATTTATATTTAAATTAAAGCAATCTTGTTTTGCATACCAAGCCAGTTCCCTTTCCCTCCCGTCCTCCCATGCCCCCCAACAACCCCTATCCCACCCCCCATCCACTCCTCAGGGAGGTTGAGGCCTTCCGTGGGGGATCATCAAAGTCTGTCACATCATTTGGGGAAGGACCTAGGCCCTCCCCCATGTATCTAGGCTGAGAGAGTATCCCTCCATAGGGAATGGGTTCCCAAAGCTAATTTGTGCACTGGGGATAAATACTAGTTCCATTTCCAGTGGCCCCATAGACTGTCCAAGCCCCGCAATTGACACCCCCATTCAAGGAACCTGGTTCTGCCTTATGCTGGTTCCCCAACTGTCAGACTGGGGTCTGTGAGCTCCCACTTGCTCAGGTCAGCTGTTTCTGTGGGTTTCCCCAGCATGGTCTTGATCCCTTTGCTCATCACTCCTCCCTTTCTACAAATGGATTCCAGGAGTTCAGCTAAGTGCTTAGCTGTGAATCTCTGCTTCTGCTTCTATCAGCTACTGAGTGAAGGATCTAGGATGGCATTTAAGGCAGTCATCAATCTCATTGCAGAGGAAGAGCATTTAAGGTAGCCTGTCATCTATTGCTTAGATTCTTAGTTGAGGTCACCCTTGTGGATCCCTGGAGATTTCCCTAGTGCCAGGTTTCTCGTTAAGTCATCTGTTTTCCTTGCTCTACTTCTCTGTTCTTCCCTGTACTCGGCCTTCCTGATCCTTCATGTTCTCCTGCCCCCACTCCTGTTCCCCTCCTATTTCTCCTGCCTCCCTTTCCCCTCCCCACTATGCTCCCAATTTACTCGGGACATCTTGTCCCTTTCCAATTCTCTCTTAGGTTCATTCTTGCTTCCTAGCTTCTCTGGGGTTGCAGTTTGTAGTCTAGTTATCCTGCTCTATGTCTAAAATCCATATATGAGTGAGTACATACCATGTTTTTCTTTCTGTGTCTGGGTTACCTCTAGTTCCATCCATTTGCCAGGGAATTTCAAGATGTCATTGTTTTTTATCACTGAGTAGTATTCCATTGTGTAAAAGTACCACATTTTCTTTATCCATTCTTTGGTTGAGGGGCATCTAGGTTGCTTCCAGGTTCTAGCTATCACAAATAATGCTCCTATTTGTAATACATAAACACATGTCCTTGTGGTATGAATGTGCATCCTTTGTATATATTTCTAAGAGTGGGATTGCTGGATCTTGAGGTAGACTAGTTCTCATTTCCCTAAGAAACTGCCATACTGATTTCTGAAGTGGCTTTAAGGTTGTATTCCCACCAGCAATGGAGGAGTGTTCCCCTTTCTGCACATTCTCTCTAGCATAAACTGTCATTGGTGTTTTTAAGTTTAGTCATTGTGGCAGGTGTAAGATGGTATTTCAGAGTTGTTTAACATACTTAAGTACCCTGTCAAACTCTTGGTTTACTAAACCCAAATTTGATTTTCATCAAGAACATTTTATCTTGATATTTTTATATGTGTTTGGGCAATGCTTCCTTCTTTCTTTGTATATATGAAAATTTTATGTTGAACACTATCCAAAGACACACAGAAGACAAATAGCTCATGAGAATCAGAGAACTTCAAAACAAACCACAAGGAAACAAATTAACCATTCCAATGTTGGGGAAGGGTTGGTGGAACTAGATTTTCTTTATACAGTGGCCATCAATAAGTAAATTGTTAACTACTTAGGAAAAGTTTGCAGTCTTGTTTCACTGAATAAACATAAGTCACTGAGAATAAATGCATCCCAACCCTAAATATCTAGAAGAAACTAAGCATCTACCCAAAGAAAGAAAAAAAGTTGTTGAAAATAATTACACTTTACATACAGTCACACCTTAGGTATCCAGGAATCTGTAACAGACAACTAAAAAATAAAGGCAGTGTCTCAGTAAAATGAATCACAGGGTTTTTTTATTTCCTGGTGCATATGAAAGTTGTTTATACTGTGGTATTCTCTGTGATGTGGGTAATAGCAACATGGTGAATAGAGTAATATGTGTACTTTAATTGTAAAGCAATTCATTAGCAGAGCATAGAACTGTATACCTTTAATCCAAACACTAAGAAGCTGGGGCAGGAGGATGGCTACTTCAAAACCAGCCTGCCCTACAATGTGAGTTTAGGTCAGCCTGTGCCACATAATCTAAAAATAGCATTTTATTGTTAAAATTACTAATGATCATTAGCGTAATTGTAAATATGAAACCTATAGACTATAATGCTGGATTACTACAATCTTCCATTTCAAAAAAAGCATATGTTGTAGTGGATAAGTGTTAACAGAGATTCACAACTAGTCAAAGTGCAGAAAATTAGGAGCACAAATGGGACATTGGTACCACCTCACACAAGGCTCAGGGAACATTGCAGAATAAAAGTAGGAAGATTTTAAGAGTCATAGATTACAGAGATCTATTGTGAGAGACTGCTTTCTGGATATGAGAGGGCCTCACCACTCAGGAAACCATAGCAGCTGTGGCTGCCAGATCAAGTCACAGGACTTTACAGCATGCATATCTACTTCTTAGCCATTTTTAGGTATATAATATAATCCTGCTAACTGCATTCAACATATTATATCATACATCTCTTGAACTTATTCTTTTCTAGTTAAATTTTTGTATCCTAGTAAAGAAAAGGCATGTGTGAGGTCCAATAAGGCAAAGGATGATAAAAGGAGGTATTGGTGTAAGGAATCAACTCCAGAAATAAGACCTTCTTCTATCCACCAGGATTTATTTTACTGCTACTTGGTATTGTCATTGGTTTCATAATGGCTTAATACTTTTTCTGAATAATTATTAGATAACAGTTTTTATCTTCTATACTCACTGATCTCTGTTGGCATAGTGACCAATTAAGAAAAAGAAGAAATTCCAGCATTAGGTGGGGGAGGGGAGAAGAGGCAGGGGGATATCTATGAGATTCCTGGACAGCCAGGGCTACGCAGAGAAAGCCTGTCTTGGAAAACAAAACACAAAAAAGAAAAATAGGGAGATGGAGAGAAAAGCTCAGCAGTCTATCCCTGGAATACAAACAGTCATTGTGTGCCTATAGCACAAAGAGGGATGCTCTCTCAGCCTGGACTCTTAGGGGAGTGCCTGAACCCTACCCAGAGTGAAATGACAGACTCTAGATATCCCCTATGTGGAAAGATTTGGCAATAGGGTGGGAGGGTGGGGGGGGAAGGGGAGTGCGGGAGGAGGGGAGGGAGAGGGAACTGGGATTGACATATAAAACAAGCTATTTAAAATTAAAATAAAAAATGATAAAAAAAATGTTGATAAAAAAAAAGAGCACTGATTGCTCTTCCAGAGGACCCATGTTCAATCCCCAGGAGATCCCACCGTCACACAGATAGACATGCATGCAGGCAAAACACGAATGCACATAAAAACTCATAAACAACTTATTTCAAATTTTTTTCTTTTTTAATTTAAATTTGAAGCAAGCTTCTTTTACATGTCAATCCCAAGTCCCTCCCCCTCCTCTCCTCCCCTAGCCCCCACTAATCCCCTGTCTCATCCCCTTTCTGCTCCCCAAGGAGGGTGAGGCCTTCCAATTGAGAATCTTCAAAGACTGTCATTATCATTTGGAGCAGGGCCTAGACCCTCTCCCATGTGTATAGGCTGAGAGAGTATCCCTCTATCTGGAGTGGGCTCCAAAGTCCATTCGTGTACTAGGCATAAATACTGATCCACTACCTGAGGCCCCATAGATTGCCCACGTCTCCTCACTGACACCCATGATCAGGGGGTCTGGATCAGTCCTATGCTAGTTTCCCAGCTATCAGTCAGGGGTTCATGAGCTCCCTCTTGTTCAGGTCAGCTATTTCTGTGGGTTTCTGCCT